AGCTAGACACGGTGGAAATGACATTGAGAGTCTTAAGAGACATAGAAGAGCAGTATCCACAGATACTGCAGACAGAAACATGACTGCAGAGTAAATCTACCAACAGGGGGCACCACCACCCTGCTCCTGTGGCTGCCCAGGTGAGGGTGACGCTGTGGTCATGAATCTGGTTGTGGTGTGGGGTTGATCCAAAAGGATGATCTGTTGCAATCTGCAGAGTTTAAACCAGCATGAAGGTGAGAAATCCCTGCTCCCTAATAATCCTAAAAACTGTCTCTGTCTAACAACAGCCACTAACGGGTAGAAAAATGAAAACACAGGTGTGAAACTACAACATGTGTATCAGAAAGGATATTCTCAGATTCATTTATTGTGTTTATCTGTCCAGAAACTGATGCCTGCTCGTCATTGGTCAACTCGCCAGCCTCAGACTCCACCTCCGTGTTGGCAAAGTTGGAGAAAGTCTGTGGCATCTCTCTCTCCTTTCGTTCACGCTGGTCAACGCTGTGGTAAGTTTACCAGCAGCTTGTGGTCGGACTCTACCTCCAACAGAAAGCATGTTGTTCCCTTAAGTCTCGCTGTGTCGTTGTTTACACCAGTGACGCCAAACCGTTGACTGTATAAACGATGGCAAATGCAGGGAATTTGAACAGGATACATGTCAGGGTTTCAGCATCTCTAGTCCATCTTCAGCCTCTAGGTGTTGTGGTGACGTCACGCTGACGGGCAACGATAACGTCACGAGATTTAAAGACAAGTTTCTGTGCACCGTCATGACAACGGCGCATGCGCATCCAGGGGGCAGTGAAGAGCACTCCACAGCTTCAAATCAAGAGATGACAAAGAGTTGTTGAGCAGTGAACTGCAAATGTCTGGAATAGCAGCGGAGTCATTAGGGTCATTTCTCACTATTAATGATGATTAATGAATCCAAGCCACCTGGGCTTCTAGTGTTCCTCTCTGTCATGTGTCTCTGTTGTACAGAAATTACTTTGACATTTGGATAACCCAACCCAAGTGCCAACCAAGAGGCTTTATGTGTATGTTGGTGTAGGCAATATATACTGTGTGCATTGGCTCTTACATGCACACATGATGGGAGCCTTTGAAAATTGCATGGCCATGATTCCTGCACCATGGTCATCCAGCCCACCCAGACGAAGGGTCACCACTCCTGCAGACAGTGGAGTGACCAACCTGTGGCTCAGAGCTCTGTAGATTAACCAGGTTAGCTTTTCATTTCATTATGTTACTTACTCCTATGAGGAGCCGGTTATGGTTACTTTAGGTTCTAGGTTTGTGCAGTGAAATTAAATGTATGTATGTGACATTATTATTATTGCTTCTGTTTGATTTTAATACTACAGATCTTAGCCACTGCCTCACCTTTGTCTGCTCTCCTCTACACAGTCACACAATAAAATGTACACCAACCAGTCTTGAAGTTGGGAAAAACCAGAGACATGACTCATGAAAGAGGATGATGGATAAAAAATTACCTGATCAACCCCATAATTACTTCAGAGAAATGAAAACATTGTCAAAATATCCACAAAAAGGATGTAAGAACTGACCTACCCTTGTGGCCTTGAACAGACCCCTCCAGCAGATATAAATGTGAAAGACCAGTAAATACTGTGAGATAGTGTTGTCTGCTGCGAATCCAATTAAAGACAAACCAGCAGGTTTTAGGTCATGATAAGGCAAATAGAAATCCCTCTAGATTGTGATGCAAACCGATGCACAACTCTATGGGGCTAGAATGGTAATATTAAAATTTGGCATTGAAAACAAAACCTGAACTTAAAAAAGAAACAATGGCATTGAAACATGTACTGGAAAAAAGTGTATTGGCACTGAAAAAGGTTCCACTGAAAAATAAAGCACAGGTATTAAAAACACCCACAAGCTTACAATCTTATTATCTTATGATAATAATTCAGAGTTTTTCTTCATGTGTATTTTTTCAGTTTTTTTTATGATGTCAGTATTTTTCAGCGTCACTAGTTCAATGCCAAATTTTATTTTCAATGCCAAGGATATGACCTGGAAAACAAAAACAAACTCAACACCCTCTGTCATTTTCTTGTTCATAGAAATACCACTTACATAGAAATTTTCAAAGTGTCGATGACACACTTGAATACTTGGCTCCAGGCAGCAGTTGTAAAACTCACATTAAGTACATTGCTGGTATATTCAAAAACAGGTGCATGTTATGATGGAAACCAAGCTCCTCTTTGGTGGCACAGTGGTGTAGTGTAGTGACAGAATTGCTTGTTTTTAAATGTTTCTGCCCTCTAGTGGTAAAATCATTTAATGCCCCCATAAGAAAGAAATCGACTCCTTTCTTCCCTTTTCTTCTCAGTAAGTGTAGAGAATTATGTAACGACTGCAGTCTCCTTAAAGCTGGAGAAATGTGATGTGATGTGATGGATGTTTTAATGTTTCACAGAGTGACCTACATGCACCACCTTCAGTGGGTTTTTCCCTGTAAGAGGCTTTGTTCTGCTGGCTCAGGTTTAGTGTTGCATTGCATGACCATATAAGGATAATACCTTTTATATCAGGAACATGTTATAAAGGATATCAAGAAGTCTTATTTAGCTCATGTTGCGTCATCCACAAAATGTAATAGGTCAGTGTCATTTCATAGAAATACAGAACGCTGCACCAGTCACTGTGTAATTGCAATCTTTTTTTCAATATCACATCCGAGTTTCCATAAATAAATAGGTATCTGTGTAAGCACTCACTCATCTCCCGTGTGCTAGTCTATTTTTAGTATCACCAAACTACTTTTTGAAATACCTGCTAATTCTTTGCTGTTCAGACTGGAGTGTAAAGACTTTCTGTCTTGCCTGTAAATGAACTTGTCCTTGTGGCTCTCTGGCTGCATGAGCAAAGAAGGTACAAGTGGGTGAGCAAAAAAAAAGAATCCTGAAGAGAAAATCTTGACATTGTTTTTAATGGTGAAAGTTGAGCATTACAAAGCAAGAGCAGATGTCATCATTCAGTCATTCACAGATAAAATCCCTGATGAAACAACAATGCATTTTATGGCTTATTACAGCATGCTTCGTGAGCACAGATGATGATTTTAAAAATAAAATAAAATAAAAAGATTTTCCATTATTTGTTTGGGGAAATTTCCACATGGAGAAAGTGGTAAAAGTAATTCAGCTTTTCTCTGCTGCAAAAATCAGATTCTGTTACAACCAAAAGGAACAAAACATTACAAGTCAACAAATAAAGTGTCTCAATCGCCATTATAAATATAAATAGAAACACTGTTTGCAATATATTGTGTTCCCAGTACTGTACGGTGAAATCATTTCTGATAACTTTAATTTCTCCAGTGAACATGCAGGTCCAGTGTGCGTCAGTCCTTTTTTATTTTAAGAAACATTCCAAGTGAAAATGCTCTAATACAACAGCTTCAGGTAAATCAGTGTTGTACATGGTTTTGTGATCAACGTGTCTTATTCTGAATGAGTTGAGTTCAAGATCTCTGAGGAGAGGCTGTCAACCAATGACTGGATCAGTCTGACACCCTCCCACTCAATATGTCAATCAAGGCTAAGAAAGACAGAACGTACAGATAGCCAATAGTGCTGCGTACTGCATACCTGCACTGCTCGGGCTCTCTGCGCCCATAGTCAGTCACTGGTTTACTACTATTTGTGGCCATACTGGGAAATCTGTAGTAATAATGCACTTAGTGTAAGGGACAGTGTGGTCTAAGTCAGTGTAAAGTCCTGACTGTCCCAAAAGCTCAGACATAAGTGTCCAGTGCATGTACAATGCTTGAAACTTAAATTCTCATTAAACTATACAACTATATACCATAAATATCTGTTGGGCAGCATCTTCAGCAGGTCTCATTTAGAAAGGAGATTCTTGTTCTCAATGGACAAATGTTAGTACTACATAGAAAAAATAAATAGATGTATGGAAAAGAGCAGTGGTCAACATCCACATCACCATGCACTGGAGGGTTCAGTGTTTCACCTGGAGGTGGACAAATCAAGTGCTGACAAACCAAGGAGAGAAAAGCTAGCAAATGCATTACACTGAGATAAAACGTACCAAACGTCTGTGCAAAATGACAACAAATTCAATGTGAAAAGGATTGCACCTCATTCAAATGATTGTTTTATAAAGTCATACAATGCGCATACATCAGCATTCTGCTACTAGATTTATAAAACGGCAAACTTCAGGATCGATTCATGTGATTTTGATTACGTTTATTCTCACTCTAGTTTTTTGGTTTTGTAAACAGTAACATTCAAAGAAGTCCTCGCTGACAGCCTGGAGAATATAAAGATACAGTTAGAGAAGCATCAGTAAACTGCAGTGTTTCTTATCAGAGGACTCAAAAAGTTCACATGATCAGTCAGTCAAGTGAAAGGCCTGTGTATGAATGGATGAAGATTGATTCATGAGCGTGTGTGTGTGTGTGTGTTCGTGTGTGTGTGTGTGTGTTCGTGTGTGTGTGTGTGTTCGTGTGTGTGTGTGTGTTCGTGTGTGTAAAAGGCCCACTACTCTCACACACCACTTTTCCTCTTAAGGTATGCCTGTAAACATTTCCATATTTCTTCCATCCTTATCTTTACATTCCTTGCTTGCTCAGACACATTGTAGTAACTCATCAATTAGATAAATAATAAATTAATAAACATAATAGACAACATAGAATACATTCAAGTACATCAGTTCCTCAATACCGGAATGCAAGCAGGCTCTGCTTTTGCAGCTTACACCCTACAGTCTGGTTGTTGCCTAACTGTTTGGTTTGTGGGCTACAGTACGTGCACAGCATATAGTCAGTCACCACATGCACCTCAATGACCTCTGCCCTGTTGACTGCACAAATGTGCAACCTGGCTCTATGATGTTGAGAGTTTTTGTGATCATCTGAACTGTGATGGAGCTCCTAGGTAACCTCACTTCCCGCTTTACCGCCCATCCAAAACACAGTGACTGTCCCAGGTCACACTGCCCCGTGGCTCACTGTGGGCGTATATCTGAGGTTACACACCACAGGCTGCTTGAAGGTCATCTCAAAGTCTTCAGAGGCTGCAGTCCACTCATAGTGCAGTGAGGGTGCGAAACAGCTGGGTGAGGCAGAAGACGGAGGCGGTGAGCGCAGTGCACTGTTTGGCGAGCAGCTTGATGCTCAGGTCCTGGCAGCTGCGCTTGCTGCTGGCTCGCTCCGCTGCCAGACAGAAGTCCCTGAAGGAGCGGGCCACATCTGCCAGACCTGCAACCGCCTCTGCGTTCCTCCGGTCACACCTGTCGCAACCAGAGAACCAGAGGCATATGCCGGCCAGCTCCACCAGGGTCCGGAAGCTGACTGCCAGGGAGTGAAGCATTTCCTCTGGGCTCTGTCCAATCCCCACCACCTTCTGACAGCCTGACATCAGCCGTCGGGCCTCTATCTGGAGCACCCGCTTGTTCTCTGTAAAATGAGCCGGACAGGTGTCCCTTGGGTGGCGACCTCCGTGACCTACCGCAGATCGGTCACTACCGCTACTCTCTAGAATTGAGAGGAGCTGGTCCACGTCTACGCGGAGTACTTGGAAACCTGTCGGGGGTTCCGGGTAGCGCTGCTGACCTAACCGACTGATGGTGTCCTTGTGCGTTTGAGACAGGAAACAGTCAGAGGCGTCTGACAGCGGTGAGAGCAGAGGGCTGAGCTCAGAGGTAGAGGAGGAGAAGAGGATGGAGCGTGGAAAGGAGGGAGAGTGGATGGAGGAGGTGGAGAGAAAGGAGGGGACAGGTGGGGAGGTCATGAGAGGAAGAACCGCTCCTGAAGTCTGGGTCACACCGCTGCTCTGTGTGCGGCACGAGAACTCGTAGACTGTCAGCTCGTCATCAAAGCTGTCCCCGCCGCTGAAGCAGTTGGTATAGACCGCCGGGCAACCACAGGCATCCAGTGGTACCTGCACCCCCTCCACAACTGACTCGCATCCGGACGCTAGCACAGAGCTACAGCTGAACTCAGGCTTCAAGGGCGGGGTAGTCCCCACCTCGGCTGCAGTCTTTGTTTGAGATGGATCCTCACAGATTGTAAACACTCTGCAGCCCGAGGAAGGGGTTTTTGGTGAGTCTGACTTCTGCTCTGCAGGTCGACAAAGACCCATCAAAGGCCTGTCGCTACTGGTCCGTCTTACTGTCTGTGACTGATTATGAAAAGGAAGTCCTGGCCTATTTAGATTCTGCGTGGTCACCACTATCGGAGTCCGAATGGGAGGTGATTGATTGGTCACTTTGTAACCTGGAGTGTCTTCAGCTGTGGTCGTGACCATGTTTGGTTCTGGAGCATCTGTTATGGGGCCGGGAGTGTCTATATTTAGGCCTGAAGTATCTCTTTGGATGCTGTTCACTATGGGTGCTGGAGGCTCTGTTATTGGTCCCGGTGTGTCCTCGACTGGTCCAGAGTACAGATGCTGATTTCGATGTTGGGGTTTGGGCTCAGTCTGGACAGGAAGTGGGGAGTTTACTTCCCTCACCTCTAAACCTGAATCAAAACTCTTTGCTGAGGCCATTTCCACAAAATGCTCCCCGTCCACCTCTGAGCCTGTGACTGTTGTATCTGAATCGTCTGAATCCACTCTCTCTGCGGTTGTGCCCGTTTCAAAATCTATAGTTTGTGTGACATCATCAACATCTGTGACTTTGATGGTAATCTCAACATTGTTGCTGCTGTTGTCCGCAACAGGACTCTGGGCTACGCTCCCCGTCCCAGCTTGGTGGAGGGTTTCGTGGGAGCGCGATAAATAAAGGGGCAACTGTTGAATCTTCCCCCTAAGTGTTGAGGCAGATAACCGGCCCATGATGCCCGGGGAACAGGACTGGAAGAGGAAGTGAGTTGGAGAAGGAGGCTCTTTGGAGAGATCATGGCTCATGGCTGTGTTAGCCTTCACTGAGCCAGAATTAGCTAAACTCTCTTTAGCTTCAACACTTGGCATGGTGGAAACACTTCTAGGTTTATCTATATTTTGATTTGAGCACGAAGCGTTTTCATGCGTCTCCTCACTTCTCAATTTAGTACCTGAATTAAAGGTTGGAGATGTGATGCTAGTCGCAGCTCCAAGCTTTGCCGTGATAGAGTTTATAGCACGAGTATACTCAGAGTTAACTGAATGAATTTTTGGATGAGCTTCGGTGCTGGTTAGAGACTTAATGCTCATCAGTGACTCACCTGCTGTGGCTGAATTAGATCTGATGCTCTGCGTTGTTGCCAAATTCCAGTCGTCTTTCTTGTCACTTGAACTAGGATTACTCACCTCGTCATCATCGAAAACATTGTCAGAATTGGCGCTGTCATCGCTGTTACTCATGGTAGAACTGACAATGCCAACGGCTTCATCTTCATTAACACTGGTCGTGACTTCTAAATGTAATTGTGCTTTGTTTGTGTGATTTTGTTTGCTAAGTGACATCTCCTCAGAAGGAGATAAAGACATTGTGGTCGAGGTTTCCATGTTTGTGCTTCCCTCTTCTTCCCTCACCAAACAGTCACTTTGAGATTTGTGAGAAACCGGTACTGGAGGTAGAGGGGATGAGGGTGGAGGGGGTGGTGGTGAGTATGACAGTGGGCTTGACTTGTCATGCACACCTTCAAGCATATGTTCCTCTTCATATGAGTTCAGCTCCTGGGCAATTAGATGAGATCCCAAAAAGCCGTTACTACCTTTTTTATTCAGATCTATGAAGCATGGCGGCAGTGTGTTGGCTTCTGACTGACCCTCAGCACCTATGAGTGGTCTCTGTGAACCGTTCCCTCTCAGTCCTTCTATCCTCTCTTCTCCTGCATCTTCCCCTTTGCCGTCCTCCTCAGCCATCTGTGGAAAAAACATATGACTAGTGAATGGCCCATTCCCTGACACACCTGCTGTCTCCTCCTTCTCTTCCTCCTCTGTCCCCTCATCTATATCCTCCTGTCCCTCCCCTTCCTCCTTTCCATCACCCCTCCGGTCAGCACTCTCCTTCCCGTCCGGATCCACCCGGCAGCGGACAACGGTGATGGTAGGAGATGCAGCCTTCACCAGATCTGTGACCGATTTGAACTCCATCGTGTCAGGTTCCATTTCCATTTCTTGCTTCCTGGTCCTGGAAGAGGACTGTGGGTCTTTAGTCTGCTCATGAGACCCAAAACCAGAAGAAGAGCCCGGTCCATGAGAACAGGCTTTTGACAGAATGGGTTTTGACTCGAGTTGAGCTGGTTCCCCTTCAGAGTGAGTCAGGGAGGAGACAGTAGGGCTGGGATTCTGGGTTTGCGCTGAAGGTTCAGGATCTGAACTCAGCATCTGGGCATCATTGGCTTCTGCCAAAAGCTTTTTATGAAGCCTATTGGATGCCAGGTCCTGCTTTGTGGATCTTTCTGGATCTGGTTGTGGATATGACACCATAGAGGTATAATCAGTTTCCATGAAGGAACGACGCTTGCGAGATCTTTTCCTGAGCTGGAACAACGTTTCTCTGCCTCCTCCTTCCTCGTCATCTCCTTCTTTGTCTTCTGCTTTTCCAGCTTTGTCTCCATCAGTCACAGAGACTCTGATGTCACTGAGGCTGAGAAAGTCCAGCTTCATCTCTGTGCAGATATCTGAAGGACAGTAAGAAACATGTTAAAAACAAAGTGTGTTCTATGTGTGTGCACAGAACATCGACACAGATAATCTAAATTAACTTAACGATCAGTTAAACTTTTGTATTACTTTTGTTCAAAGGTTTATCTATCGCTTTGGATTATGGGTTTATATAGAGAGTTGTACATCACTGTTATCACCAGGAGTGAAGTTTCCATTGGTTCAGTTTGATTTACTCACTAAAGTGTCCGTTAACAGTGTCTTCTTATTCTCTAGCTTCCAAAATGCAGATAAGAGAAGAGTTTATATAAATACTTCAATTATTATGCACTTACTTATACACTAGCTGTAAAGACATGTTTTTGGGTTTCACTTCTCAGGCAACATAAACTGGCCTTTCTTTCTGGATGTGTTCTGAGGGCGATGCTGAGGGCTTTCCAAATCCACAATCATTCAAGTCCACAGGTGGACTCAAGTGGACTTTCTGCAGACTTCCAGAGTGTCTGCTTGGGCTGCAGACCTCACCAGACTCTGCTTGGAATATTATCCATAATCCAAAGCGATATGGATATGACAATGTAAAAAAATAAAAAAAATAATATGTACCGTATTAACCCCGCCCTCACCCAATGTTAGCTGGGTAGGAATAAGCAGTATGAATGAATGAATGAAGGAATGAATGTACCATATTTATTTTAGAAGACATTTGCTTTTTTCATTATTGTGGTAGGGTTCATACTGCACACACAGAGCATGAGTTGTCTGAATACTTTGGATTTGTTATAATCTGCAAGACTAGACAGGCAAATGTTGGTTTTTGTCCATCTGTGGTGTGAAGATCCTCAGCTGGAGGTTTAATGTTTATATGATGTTGTGTTTGGCAGCTTATGTAAAAGAAAATGTCACTGCACATTCTGACAAGGTGTGTAGCAAATCTACATGTCTCATGCATAAGTTGCCAACATCAACAGCATTAATAACCTTTCAAAAAAATACTTTGAAATGAGTAACAGGGTCACAAATTTCAGTTCTTATCCATTGAAACACAGAGCACATTTCACTGTACATATAACAAAGCTCAGTGAGAGCGCTGTTCACAGGTCTGGAAGGAGAACATTTGGATTCAGCCATTATGGCTGTGGCTATTTGGAGCCTGCAGGCAAAAAAAGAAAGATGCTCTGAATGAGTACCAATCAAAGAATCAACAGGAATGACACTTTGGTGTAGACATGGATATACTATGGATGTAACTAAATATGATTTTAAGCAGGGTTGGTGCATTATAATAAGATCCATAACTTAAGTAAAAACAAAGCAAAATACTGATATATGTGTTACAAGTAAAATCTAATCATTGCTTTTTGTGAAATATTGAATAATTTAACCTCTTTGACCCCCAACAATCATTTAAATGAATTGGTCTGGGAAATAAGGGAAATATGTATTTAGTGGAACTGCAAACAGCTCACACACATGTGAAGCAAGCAACAACGGGCCCCAGTAACACACTGTAGTGTCCGAAAGGTTCAAAAAAGTTGGGAACAAGTAAAGTAAAAATAACTGGGAACTACTATACTACTATACTACTCTATCATACAAATGTAGTGGAGTAAAAATATACCTGAAAATTGTACTTATACAGTAGTTGAGTATGTGTACTTAGTTGTTTCTTCCACTGGACTAATAAATGTCTTTGGACAGTTAAGTGTAATGGATTAAATGCTGTATCTTTTGTGGCAGGAGAGCAGAGCTGCACTGAGCCTACAGGCTCTATAGGCTGACATCCACCATCACTGTTAGGTGTGGTCAGACGTGCAGTCCGCTACTTTCCTGGCAGTAATGCCACATTTCTCTAATATACAATATTGTATCGTTTTCATGAGGTAAAAACTTCAACCACTAGATGGAAGCAAAAGCACAATTTACAGCCTGTGTTTTTATCACTCTACAGGACAATGACAGTAAATGCTTGTGAACAATGAAAAGTAAATCACCTCTTGGCACGGCGCCTGAGGTTGGGTCTTCAGGTGAGGTAAAGCGATCTCTGGCATCAAAAAACTCCTCGTCGGAGCTGCTGTCTCCAAAGCCAGGAGGTGGATGGAGGATGGGGATCGGCTCCAGGTCTTCAGCCTTACCCCCACCTTCCCTCACTTCCTCCCAGTCTTCTCCCTCTCTATGGAGCAGGGGGCGGGGAAGGCTGCGAGCGCTGTCAGGGGTGATGTTGGAGCAGAGTTTGTAGTAGCAGCGAGCGTCCCTCTGGTCAAAGTTAAACACAAACTCCATGTGGGAGGAGGGGGAGGGTGGGGAGAGGGGTAGTGGAAATTCTTGAAAACTACCCTCCCCGCTTACGCTTCCTCCTTCACCCGCTCTTCTCACCGACTGGTCCATTTCTTTGAACAATCTCCTCCTCCTACTTAACTCCTCTTCTTCATCTTCATCATCCTCACTGGCCTCCGGGGGGCTCGGCAGGAAGTCCACGAGGCGAGAGAGCTCAGCGAAGCACAGAGAGCTGTCATCAGATTCGGGGTAAGTTGAACATTTTAGGGTGTGGTGAAGGCTCTGAGAGGTGGAGACAGGTACGATGAGTTGAGGATCGGCTCCATCGCCTGATCTCCTGCAGCCTCCTCCCCCACTGTCGTGAGTTGTGAAGTGTTTGAGGGGGTGGGAGTGAGTTGGTGGAGGAGCGAGGAGGTGAGACTGAACCTGCCTATGAGAATAAGGATTAAGCTGAAGGTGAGAGTGGACGTGGGGATGAATTTGCGAGGGAGCGTTGGGGTGGCCGGAGGAGGAGGAACACGACAGTAAATCATCTTCCTCCAAAGCATCGAGGGAGTCGCTGGACGGGCTGGTGAGGACACGAGAGTCAGTGTGACAGGAATCTGATGTTTCTGATGCAGACGGCTGCTCCTCTGCTGCCTTTGCCTCCCCTCCACCTCCACATTCTTCTCCCACTTTCTCCTCTCGTTCCCTTGAGTCATTGTTTGTTACCTCGATCTGTATTTGTCCACCATCTGGCGCCCTCTTTGTCTCCTCCTTGTGCCCGGTGTCTTCAGTCATACCCTCTCTATTCTTTCCCTTTTCAGTGTCAGCATCTTTCTCTTCCTTTTGTTTTTTATCTTCCCAAGATTTATCTCCCTTTTCTTTGCCATCTTTGTTTCTCCTTCTGTCTTTTCTTTTTCTTCCATCTGGATCTGATGAGGATCTGACACGAGGGCAGGGCTTTTCGTTGACAGACACCAGGGTCACTAGTGGTTCCATGTCCAGGTCTGATGAGTCATTTGAGTCGCTGCCACATCGGGACACATAACCTGTGGATATGAAAACATGCATGGATATGAAAACACACACCAGGATTTGGAACTGCAGTCAGTGATAGATGTATAGACTGTACATGTGTATTTTCTTTGTACCTTCCTCAGCAGACACTCTGTGCTTCTTGGACTCATCTATCCAGGGAAATATGTTGAGGTTGGGGTCAACAAAAACTCGACAGTACCCTGCTATTAGGCAGGACATATCTTTGGCTGCCACTGACTCCAACAGTAATGTGATGGGCTTTGTGTGAGAGAGAGGAGACACAATGATATGAGATTAGACAAGGAAAGAGAGGATATAGAAAGACAAGAGAAACAAACTTAATATAGAGTAATCCTATTGCATCCAAGACAGTCATAATATTGATGAAAAAGAAACTATATGTCTTTATAAGCTGATGTCTGCACATCATATACAAGAGGGGGTACACAAAATAATGTAAACAGGTCAGGAAAATAATTACTCATTGAAAAACAGTGTTAGGTCATTTTAAGCTGAATGCTAATTAGCAGGATTTCTTAAGCTATTATTGTGGCAGGTAGCAGTTTAGCCCTGTTCAGACTTTGTACCATTTGTCTCAGGTGATCCGATCACAGGTTGACAGCTCTAAGTACAGGTGTGAACGCACCCAAGACGCACTGAGGGCACATTTGAGATCCGATCACTCAGACCACATGTCTGGACAACATGTGTTCACATTCTCACAGCAGTGTGAACACAAATGTGTCCTGGGCCACATTGAAGGACCGCCTACTCTACTGACGTCCACTGACAGTCTCATTAGTCCCAACACAGTTTATAATGAAATGAAAATATTTTATCATTTCAAATAAATAAAATCTTATTTCATTGTTGAGCTGCGGACAGCACAATGACTCACTCAGCCCATCATTTCCTCGCTCTCTCTCCCAAACACAGTAGTCAGACTGGCTAAGAACACCAACGCATACCTGTTTATTTTCATTTAAAGCGAGGAAGTAAGATCCGATCACAAGTGGTCACTCCAGATGCACTTTGAAGATGGATTTTAATGCCAGGTGTGAACTGACGAACTTAGAGCCAGACCACTTGTGATTGAATCACCGAAAACGCATTTTAATGCAGGTCTGAACAGGGCCAAAGAGGTCTGGCAGGAAGTGGTTTTTGATTTTTTTTAGCATCCAGACCTCCAAAGAGGCCAAATCTGCTGTGTCCAAAGTGTAGGTGAATCAAAAAAATTGTAGTATGACATATGTATATTTAATATGTAAATCCATCACTGTCTAACACATGCAAAATACAGACAAATTGCACCAACAAAGAGGTGAACCAATAATGGTAATTGGTGCTCAATATGACCCACTGCTGCTGATTCAGTTACTTCGACATAAAAGGGCTTTTTGATGATGTCTAGGTGTGTGTGGATTCCTGCTCTTACCTTAATGTCCTGCAGGTATATTTTGACCAGGCTGACCTTCTCTGATTCAGGCAGCAGCTCGATACGTGTGATGCTGGTAAACTCTGTAAGGGTGGACAGGATGCTGAGCTTGTGGTTGACCACCTGGCTCACGCCATACCGTGCCCCCACCAGCAGGGTTACCATCGACTCCCTGTCCTGGAGCTGACAGGTGGGGGAGGGGTTGTAGGACAGAGAGACGCTTGAAAGTTCAGTCAACAAAATCTCAGACACAGAAAAAACAGAATCAATATACAGCTACAATTAACAGTCCAAAAACCTACCATCATGGTGGCACTGAAGGATTTGCCTCCAAACGACCTGAGATCAGCCAGCTCCTCCAGGTAGTTTATCCTCGTCTGATCCACTGACAGGCCCTTCTGTTTAGGATCGTGCTGCAGTTGGCTCTTCTTCATGTGGTAGCCGATGGCCTTCCTCAGATCTTTCTCTCGCATGTTCCTCAACAATGTGGATGACACAAAGTTCTCTATGCCCCACGTCTTCCTGGAGCAAACACAAAAACACAGATGGAGAGAGTCTGTTTGTGAGTACAAGACTGTTGGAGAGCTGAATCTGATTTTAGGATCTGTACATATGTGTATGAAAGGAACATCCAGCTCCACGCCAAAACATATTTCTCTTTAAAGACAATAAAATCTATTTAAAAAGCATCACTGATGCTCATCTAAAAAGGTGACTCCAGTTGTACTACAGTGCACATGTTCAGAAATATAATGTGTATTCTAAGTAAAAAGATGGAACCTAATCTCTGTTTGTGTGTACATGGCATGCAGTGTATATTTAACAGGGAAAATATTTAGTTTTAAGACAGAGAGAAATGACTAATTCTAACATTTGTATAGTAGTTGCTTATTGCTTCCACTTTATATTTGGACAGTGTTTCTTGTCTGCAGTGAGGTTATGTAATGAAACATTAGATCAGGAATAGCTCATTGGTGGCAGCCCTCAGTTTGGCTGGACTTCAGATGGTCATGAACCACAGCCAAAAGGACTTTAATGGATGAATATTAAAAATGTGAATTATGACCTTTAAGAAACTACCACAGGGAACACACTGCCTGCATTGCGTGTGCATGGGGGCTGCAGCTTGCATGCGCATGTATGTTCACACCAACTGCATGTCTGCTGTGTCACCGCTACTGCCAGCTCTATCTGTCTACATCTTGGATAATGGCCATCAGCAGGCTACTCCAATTATGGATTTCTGATCATTATAAATTAATTTCTGTTTTATTTCTGACAGAAAATGTCACTAAAATGTCACTGTCTCCACATGCAGCTGCTAAAATGGTAAAAAAAAAATATATATATATATTTTTTCATGTCTGTGACATATTCATGTATTCAGATTCTACCTAGACATTGAAACTTTAGTTTCCCTGTCTCTTTTTGCTGAGAACTGCACTCATCACATGTGAAAAAAGGGTGAAACTCTGAATCTCTAGATCAGGCAGTGTGTCTGCTCTAACCCGTTAACATGGTCACTGAAATGAAAACCAAGACGTTCTGCAGCCGCCAGCACACACCACGCAGACAGTGTGTTCCCGGCCTAATACTCTTCTGTTACATTTCAAGCAGGGTAATTTTGATATGACTGATGCAAAATAACTAAAATACAACTTAAAATGCTGATTGAATTGATTTTACTATAACACACTTGATGAGGTTTGGCTTCATTAATGTCCCTGCAGCACAGTAGGACCAGCATGAATTCCACTTTTCCCTGGGATCTTGACTAGGATTAAAGTCCTGTGTTAATTATAGTTGAATTTAGTGATGTGTAGGTGTAAAGATCAGACATATGTGTTCATGTCTCACGTGATGATCTTCAGGTTGGTCTTTGGTGACTGTCCACAGCTCGAGAGCCTCTCCTGAATGTGCAGGGCAGCGAGTCGCAGGGCAGTGTTACACCTCATCTCTATTGCAAATCGCTCCTGCAGCACATCATTCACCCCCTAAGACAAACACATACAGAACGAAAACAGTAAAAATAGTTAAAAAGTGATAGAAAAAAGTTACAAAAATATAATTTGAAAAATAATCTGCCATTCATGATTTTTAAACTAGTGGAAGAAAATATCCATAACTTTCACAAAGTAATGTTTCAGTAGGAAGGATGTTCTGACTTTACTTCATAACGGTGAGCCAGACAGAGCAGTGTTTCTTTCATTCATACAAGATGGTATGTGTACAGTTCAGGTTTTTGCTTGTTAAGAGACAAAACCCTTATTTTCCTTATTTGAATCAAGGAACTACAGGACAGGAATAAAACTGTGGCACATTTCAAAACAAGCTGACCTGTCAGCTGATTTACATCATGCTAAAATGTGTCAACTGCAGCAATACAGTAACTGGACTTTTTGGAGGTTTTACAAAACTTTGCTTCCTACAGTAATTTGATTCAGATTCAGAATCCCTCTAAGGTGAGACTTGTTTTAAACCCTTTTTCTGTTGATGGTGCCTGTGAGTTTGTGATGACGGCAAAGCAGCTGATTTCATTGTTTCTACTGCTACTAACACAGTATGTTAAAACAAAGAACAAAGAAAATAGGCAAATAAATTATGTTACGGCTAAAGTGAAAACCTATGAACTCTAATGAGAATCAAAACAAACTGGTTATATGAAGAGTTAATTGCTGCAGCCTGCTGTTTGTCTGTGGGTCATCAATCTACCTGCAGGTAGAGGTATTCAAAGGCTGTGGGATCCTCCTGCAGCAGAGTCTGGAGGCTTCTGGGCATGAAACAAACACGGAACAGACACCTGTAGTCATGGGCCTCTTTCTTCTGGACCACCTGGAGACACACACACACATGCAGGATTAAACTGACTTGCCAGTAGAGCCATGTAATGTAAATGTAAAATTGTTATTATTGTGGAAAATTGTTATTAGTGTGTGTGTGTGTGTGTGTGTGTGTACCTGCTGTATCCCCTCCTCATCGTGTAGCAGCAGTAGTTTGCTGATGCTGTGCTGCTGCTCCAGCACCAGGGAGAAGTGTTCGATACGGCTCAGAGAAAGCTTTTCCTTCAGTGTCATCACAATGTCCTGATGCGCACAGAAAACCACATCGTGAGACAATATTTTATAACATTAGGGAAACATATTTGCTGAGCTGAGGTTTGAAGGGAAAGTCTGAAGGGAAGTTTGAAGGGTTAGCAAATCCAGGATCCTGATGTACTGATAAAGACTGAGAGAATCACAACTGCTGGGGCTTTTAAATTAGACTTTAATTTCAATATTGTCTCTGTTATATGGTTATAGTTTATAGTTTCAGAGTATTTGGACCAACAAAGAAGTGTGCATGAAAATTAGCTATAGTTTCTGACTTAGGTAAAAATCACAGAGAACTCGATCATTTCATAAACAGATTATGAGTCTCGGTCATCGCTGAAGCCCCCAAAACTCTATAACAGTTGTTAAGTGTCCAGTCTAATGAAACTTAAGGTCGGAGTGGATGTAAGTGTGGTAGTCTATCTACCTTGACTGTGGTGCTGGGTTCAAATTTGAAGGCCTTGGTCTGCCCGTTCTCCAGATAAACCTTCAGAACGTTAGGCAGGAAGAGCAGCGAGTTACCCTGGAAACCAGACAAGGGTCAGAGTCAGGGTCGGGGGTGAAGCAAGGCGTCAGCTGAAAATGTGAGCATCGTAAAACCTGCTGGTTCAAGAGGATTATAAATCACAGCTGACAGAGAGATATGACATAGAAAATATGTTTGTGTATGTAATGTTTGTCTCATATAGGGAGGGGCTGGGTATTTCAATATATTAAATATATCAAATGTAACCTCTGCACATTAAAACACACTCACAGTATGAAAGCGAGACGTGAGCCTTGTCTGATTTTCAGCTCTTCTCATGGAGCATTTCTTCACATCATATCCCCTGGCCTGTTTCTGTCTGCCAGGCTCGTTCACCGTGGTGACTCATCTTTCCCTGCCTCATCCCTCTTCTCCTATGATTTTAGAAAGTCTTCCTCTGTATTGACACTGTGATTTAATGCAACATTGATGTCTGTATGTTTTGAAGTTCAAATGGAGAGCTTTCAAATTTTAGACAACCCCTCCCTCGTCACCCTCCCATCTTCCATTTCTTTTATTTTCTCTCCCTTTTAACAACCCCCCATTCTCTCTGTCTCTTCTCTAACTCCCTCTCTCTTCTCTAATCGGATGCTTATTGTCCTGTAATCACAGACATTAGGACTGGAGGATGAGGCAGATATTGATCTGTGTTTTCCCTGTGATTAGTAATGGGCACTCCAGCCTCTGTGGTTTTCCTCATCCAGCTAATTTCACATCCGCTGGCAGGATGGGAACTCTGCCCAACAAGGCTGATAGGAGAAAACTGCACACAGTATGGAATAATACTGAGCAATCATAAAATATCACTCCCCATCAGTGAAAAGCTTGTTTAGTTTGATGTTTTTAAGTTCGATAACTTTTTCTCAAAAGATAGGAGGTGGAATAGAAGTGTGTATTTAATTAGTGTTTACTCAATTTCTTTTTTACAAATGAGTGATGAATATTGTAGTAGACAAGGAAGGAAGGAAGGACGGAAGATTTGATTATGAAAGTTGTTTGACTGGGTTCTCCATTTTTGGATTCTGGTTTAGGCTTATATGAATTCATGGTGTCTTGTAAGCCCATATGGGCTGGATGTAGTTCATTCATGACCTGTGCAAACAGGCATTGATTCAAGGTTGGAAACTGTTGCCTTAACTGATAATACAAGTATAAGTTGGTCTGACGTTGTTGAAGCAAAACAAACATTACTTAAATATCCTTCTGACACTATGCAATGGACATGTGGGGCTAGGATGGACATGTGTGAAATATCAAACAAAAATAAACAATATCCCATGATGATTAGACACCATTTACATCTGGTATTAACATGTGATCTGTATCTGGAGATCTACACGCACAGAGAACTGTGATGTGGTTCAAAGTGTGATCAGTTCTTAATCAGGTGTAAATATAGTCTGTTTGGATGCTTTGTTTAGAAGAAAATCAGTTCATTAGGCTGAAAGGTCACTGAACTCTGGCTTTTCCTGTTATCTCAAGAATCCTCAGCAAAAAGCGACAGATAAGATTTTCCTTAGCACAGAAAAATAAGAAGAGCCCATAAAGCACTGTTGCTTCACCTGATTTACTGCCCCATGTTTGTTGACAGGTCCATCAGCTCTGCATACATAATTTGCATATTGAGATCCGATCCCAATGCAGGCAGAAATAATTTAACAGCACTTAATAACAGTTGTAAATGTAAAGGCCGATGATCAGATGTCATAATCCAGATATAGATCTTGGTAAATGGATAAATGATGGATGAACTGATGGAGCACAGTGCTCAAAAGTAATGAAGTTAGTTGTGCCAATAAACATTTGTAGAAAATGTCAAAAGTCTTGATACCTGTTCCCAACAACATCTATGTAACATGGTTTCAAGTTGTTCATGCATGTGATGAATATCAACGGTCTCAAGGAAACACTGCATGAAGATGATCTTAGGATGACAATGAAGTAGGAGATGGGGGACAACGAGTTCTCAAACTCACCTGAGAGTGTCCATTGACTTCCACCTCCTCAGCAAAGTGAACTTTGACAGGGTTGGACCTGAGCTTGGCCCTCTTCTCCGGTGTGATGAACGATGACTTTGGGCCCTGGGAGGAACACAAATCAATAAATCAGGTTGTCATAGTATTTTATATATAATCAATCAGTTTGAATATGGCTGTGTGAGGTGGTGGGACATATGAGGAGAACGAATACATACAGTCTGTTGCTTTTGCTCTGTATTTAATTAAAGCAACCATACAGCAGTTTAACCAGACACACTTTATTATTTTAATGAGTTAAGAAGTGAAGCAATTAAAAAACGGTTGTTGTTTTATATAGTTGTTCCGTACCTTATGTTACTCAAGAAAAACAATAGCTTATAATTAACAAAGAGAACAATGTTGACATCAGGTACATTATGGCAATGCAGTATGTTGAGATTAAGGTTTAATTATTTAAATTAAGGCTGTTTAACTAAAAAATAGAAAAAGGAAAGTGAAATGAGACAAATGATTATGGTACAACACCATCCCACTGTCAATACAACACAAGCATCCAAATACACTCTAGGAGTTTTGCAGTTCCATTAGGGGATTTACATTTAGGAGATATACAAGTACAGTTGAAAACAAACATAAGCACCTTCATCACTGCACAACCAGTTACAGTCCATGTATTGAAGGCAACAGAAACTGTCAAACTATTCTCCTGCTCTTATGTCACTATCTGAGTATAATGAATATACTCAATTGGTTCTGTTTTAATGTTTCGTTACCATCAACGCTCATGACAGAGATGAATATTTTCTGGGAAATGCTAATAATTCCTTGCAGCTCAATAATGATTTCTTGGAGGAGGTGTGAGCTATAAATCAGATGGTAAAGGTGCCTCCATCAGCAGAGCTACTGAGGAGAATCACTGAGGAGCAGCCATTTAATTACTGATCTACTTCACCTTACTGCAAACACATACGTCAAGGAAGAGCTGTCTATCTGAATGTGTGTGTGAGGGGAGTTTACGCGGGCGTCACGTTGTCACTGTAAACAGTGATGCAGTGGTGAGACCTTGGTGACAGGATCGTTGTTGCCAATGAACCCAAGTCTCATTGACGTGTTGATTAATGGGTTTACTGACAACAGCATTTTAGAGTGTGTGTATCGACACTGTGTATGTACAGTATGCGCTCATGTGTACATGTACTGTACATGCTGATGTGTGTTTCTATAACATAATGTAAATAGGAAACAAGAAACACATTAAGTTCATCTAAAGTCCTGCTGGCAGAGGACCAGCCATTATCCAATTAAGTGTCCATCAGTGTAACTTTGTGTAAATGTGTTTCTGTGTTGGAAACAGTGGACTCACCAGCATTGTTCTGAGGACCGTCATTGTCAACGTATCTTGACACTCCCTGAAATAAAAGAAAGGGAGGGTAACCAGGTTAGACGTGATGTGCATAACTTAATGTTAAACAGTATTCTGTGGTGCATGTACAAACAATCATGCATGTGCGTGTGTGTTTGTGAATGCAGCTGTCGGCGTAGACCTGATTATTTCAGCAGCTTGCTCCGGGGTCAGGTCATCAACAGCAACGTTATTGATCTTCACAAGCTGGTCGCCAGGGACGAGCCGGCCATCTGCAGGACCACCTGCGCACACAAAATGTCCTTGTGTCGTCATGCCTGAGGGTGTTCAATTGGCCTGCATTCATACTGCGACCAGGGTTGATGACAGGCAGTAGCTTGTATTCTGGTGATCTCCTTTCATCTCACACTGACGCATAATTTTTTAGAGAGCTCTCCAAACCTGACCGTCCCAGAAATCCAATAACTGTTTGTTCAATATTCTGTATATCAAACAACTACGGTACTACTACCTTTCTACTACCTTTCCTTTATTGTCCATGATATGAGCACAAGATTAAGGTTCTGTGTAAGCACAATTAAGGCCCAAATAATCACTTATTCTCTACATGACTACCATTCAAATTATTATCTTTTTTGTTTTTAACACACAGTACACCAGTGTAGAAGCTGAAGAGCAGTTGGCATCTGCTCTTAAACTTCACTGAATGGCTGCTGTCACCGCTGCTGATACAGATTATACTGTACTGACACAGTAGTATTCATTGAATTAGGCGATGAATGATGAGTCTGCACTGTTTCAATTCAGCAGAGCTGTGGCTAAAAGTTACAATAAGATGTTTGCTCCAAATACAGTGATGTTGCTGTCCCTTACTGTGCGTGTTTCACTGCTCTGTGTACTGCAGTACTGCAGACTGTGTGAAACAGAGTGCAGTGAAATAAACTGAAACTGAGAAGAATTTGGATGGAGACTGGCGTTGAATTAAAGCTGCTGAGTTTCACAATTTTAGATGTTTTTAAATTTTAGTGCTTCATACCAATATGCTGAATTTTGTAAAGATTTCAGTTTATACTAACTACTATAGCTCTAGATTTGTTTTCATCTATGCAAAATTTACATTTTATTACGTTTGTTTATTTCTTTACAATGAATATCCTGGGAGAATATTAAAAGTGCAATCCCACACAGACCCAGCACACTCGCTCCCGCTCCACGTCTGTTGTGGCGACGTCACGCTGACAGGTGATAATGTGTGATAGTATTTTTGTGTACCACACCAGTGCTGAATGACAAACCCCTGGTGCATAAATCAAATTGCAATTCAAGGCAGGAAAGCAAAGATCATGGTTTTTACCATAGTTTTCATCAGATTATTTAGGTATCTTTACTACAGTGCAAATGTTGAACATTATGTGACATTATGGAACCTGTGTAAACACTGTGTATAGAAAAATGACAGTTTCTTCCCCCTATCACTCCCCTGATTACTATCATTAACATCACCTTCAGCAAACGTTTTATCTACAACATCAAGTAACCACTCACTGCTCAGTTATTTAATTGTGAAACAAGCTATTGCTTTTTGTTTCATCCCAAATGAACAGAAAACACAGGTGACACTGGAAGCTGATAGCTCTGAAAAAGCTTTTGAATAATGGATTCATATTTCACTGTCAAGATGCTGCAGCTCGTGCCAGAGACAGAGAGAGGCAAAATTGAGCCAAGGCTCAGTCGGGCCACTGGAGACATGAGCAACAGTGTGTGTGTGTGTGTGTATGTGTGTGTGTCTGTGCGTGTGTGTGTGTGTGTGTGTTTGTGTGCGTGTTTGTGTGTGTGTGTGTGTGTGTGTGTGTGTGTGTGTGTGTGTGTGTGTGTGTGTGTGTGTGTGTGTGAGACAGGCACAAGCAGATGGTGACAGAGCAGACTTTAGCCAGACAGGAGAAAGCGAGGTAATCTGCCCCTGGACCACAGGGGGATTCAGGTCCTCGTCTCTGCAGCAAGCTGCACTTCACAGTACAAATATAGGCAGACTGTGATAAACACTATGTATGAGTAATACTTATGTATCATTTTTACATGACTGGCTTGCAAAAAAATCAAATAGTGCTTGTGTAGCAGTCAGTATTACAGTAGGTCAGTATTTTTGGATATGATAAATAAAAAAACACAGACCATACAAACATAAACATCTCCTTATTCCAAAAAAACATCCCACTCTGTAGATGGCAGCTATCATCTGTTCATTTTCAAATATTGATGTGGTTTGGGCACAAGAGCGAGCAGATCAATATTATTGACTGGTTCTACAAAAGTGAAGCAGATTTTGTAACTTCTGATCTAGCCATTGTTTTGGTTGAATACATTGTAAGAGTTAGAAATGTGTTGATGACTGTAGATTAGATTTCTTTTTTTATATCTGTATTCATGATGATTACCTGTGGGGTGTGTGAAATGTATCTTCAGCTCTTGACTGGCAAAACAATAAGATTCAACTTTATCGAGACACTAATAAAAATGAATATCATTTTCCAAATTGGACATATCACAATATAGAACAATACACTTTATCATGACAAATATTAGAGTGACAAGTATTGGAAATGCCCCTGATACTGGCAAAAATACAGTATTGGGTATCAGTGAATACCCAAGTCTATGCACTGATCTGATACCATGGAATTTATTAATAACCTTCATAGTTTCACACCCAGATAAAATGGCAGTTTTCCTGGAAGTAAATTCACTGCTCTAAAACAACAGCCTACACAGGAAGTTGCGCTGTGCAGCCACTGTGTAACTGCTGTTTAAGAGCCGCGTGGAAGAATTGATTTCTGGTAAATAGTGTAACATTAGCCGTTAGCAAAATGTTGGCAATTTGGCAACATGTTACAATGGAAAGTCCAACCAGTAAAAAGGCAATGAATACAATATGCAAGGCATTCATTTTGAGGTGTGGCACTTGTGTTAGGACATCTAGTGTATTAAGTGTTATTTAATCCTAGATTTATTAATTTATTTATTGATTTGAGGATTGACAGTCATCTATTTCATCCATGTATCTTTTCATGGTTTACAAAGGGTTTACTGAGCCCTGTAACACGATAATGATAGCAATCAGAGCACATCCTTACAGGGTCAGTAGTATACAGCTGTTAAAACCATTTCTTAAGGCAGCGGTATCAGAACATCCCCAAAAAATATGAGAGGGATTAAGTGAAGACATTGCGAAACAAAACAGAGACAGAAGCAGAGACAGCAATTTGGTTCACTACACAGGGCTTCACCTCTGAGAGGAGAATAATCCTGCACTGACTGAGGGACTGTAAGACTGCAGCTCTGATTTAAATGCGACAACATTTTCAGCAGCCAGGGAATAACGTCTGTGGTCAGCATGGGTAACTGTTTGTCTGTGTGTTAGTGAGATTTATTAATAGGGCAGCACAAAATACCTGTGAGCAAAAAGTATAAAGACCTTGTATTTATACTGTATGTTTTAGATTTTAACCAGTTAGAGGAGCTGTACCGTGAGATACAGCTGACACAGCCTGTAAATGTATTTAGTTCAGAGGACTTGTTGATTGACTTGAGCTTGTGACGCACACCTCCTTTACATAGAGCCCAATCACAACCCTAACGCCAACCATGCCCATGTATTACATTACAAAGCACCTTAGGCATTTGATTGGAAGAGGTTTTCGGGGACAGTGTAAAGCCTGGGAGGAAGTGCTGCCTGAGAGCCTCAATCAAGGGCTAAAAAGTCCCTCTTCTTAGCTCTAAAAGCTCTTTTTTGTTTTGCTTCCTCATTATCCTAAAGATGCTTTAAACAGACACACACACACACACACACACACACACACACACACACACACACACACACACACACACACACACACACACACACACACACACACACACACGTACACAACATCAGAGCCACAGTACGTTTCCTCTGTTAATGTGATTTTGTGTGCATGTATCAGCCTCCCTTGGAGGTTCCACTTTTTACAGTTTGTTTTGTACACTGGCCAGAGGCCTGCAGTGGTCTGGCACAGCTCCACCGTTTCAATGGCTGTGGAGATTTATTCTATGCAACATTAGAGTCCTGTTCTAGAGACAACAGGCAGAATGAGATGAAAAAATGCTCTGTTCTTAGAAGAAGTGAAAATATTTAACAGGATGGTCTGTCAAATGCCAGTGTTGTACAGTAAAGCTATTTGTCTGATTTTACATTTAAAAATAAATAATAATGTATTTAGGTGGGTTAAATAGTTTTAAAAATCCTCATTTTCAGACCAGCAAATGAGAGTTCTGCTTCAATTCATCTGATTGCAGGGAGTTATTTAAGTGAAAATGCTTCCAGTTCTTGTTACTGCACAATACACTCAATACGCTCAAGTATGTCAGTAGTCAAGTATCTGCCAGTTTTGCTCCAGAAAGGGACCCTTGGGATGTCCTTAACAGGCACCCAGAAGTACAGTGGTGTGCCACGAGGTGCTATAGATTTGCTGAACTCCTCACCAGGTTACATTCATTTTTATGGAGGATGTGGAGACACAGCTTCTCTTTTCCTGGGCTACTCCGCCTTCACTTGGATTGCAGGGAGGGCAGCTCCCTTGGGCGCCCAGGTGAATAGTAGCAGCTGTGCCTGTTGGACAGACGGTACTGACAAGGCAGACCAACACACTGCAGACCCTGGCAATGGAAACTGGCTCTTGGCTGTTAGAATGGGATCTCTGTGGGAGAAGGAGTCAGAGCTGGTGGAGAGGCACCAAGCAGACATTGCTCAGCTGAACCTGCAGCGTCAGCTATTAAACCTATCTCCCTGATACTGAGTAATACTGTGTGCTGTCTTCTACTCCTGTGTTGTGCAGGGTGAGCGCTGCATTGGGTTTAGGGACAAGAATGTTACATAGCTGTGTACAGAAGAACCACGTTTAAACACAACAAGGTTTGTACATCATTATCAGCTATAAACATCAGCTGTCAGAACACAGACAGCTGGGTTTAGGAGGAGCTGAACTGTCAATAACCGTGTAATATTTTCTCCATACAAATTTAAGAGATTTTTCTTTATAATGTCAATTTTCCTTTTCCCACTTTTATGTTGACATTTTTGAGTCTCGTCATACCTGGGGTGACCTCTTGTACCACAATGGGGGTTTGGGAGGAGAGAGTGAGGCCATGGGAGTTAAGAGTCTCGTCCCGTTGAATCTGAACATTAAAGCGGAAGGGGTAATTCCTCTGATCAGAGCCACTGGACTCTGCTGTCTTCCCATCCAATGCAACCCGGTCTCTGGAGAGGAACAGGCGGACAGAAAGAAAAACAAGACTCGGTCAAAACTTGGTGTATGGCTGTACCGCGTCAAAGGCTATTTGCATTCTGCCTACTTCAGCTCTTTATCTGTTTGCTTCTCTCCTTCTCTCTGTGCTCACATATACAGTATTATAATACAACAATACACACAATAAAGCTGTTCTCATTTACATGTTTTTCTGTTTCTATTGTCAGACAATGGAACAAGTATGAAATAATGACTGAAACGAAGCCCATTAAGACTACGTGTTAACCAGCAGTCACTTCCTGCTTAAAATCCTGTTAAAATCCATAAACACCCATAGGTTTCTGAAGAGCAGTTTTGAAGCTCAGTGAACTGCTCCGCCATCGCCATCTTGGCAGTGCCTGACACCGCCTAACTCCCGGCTAATCCGAAAAAGGGAAAAGTGGTGGGGCGTGTGTGGAGCCGGGTTTGTGGCAAGCATGCGCTGTCCCACCTGTCCCTCAAAGCGGCCACGCCCTCAGCTGTGCATAACTATGAGTTATATAAAAATCCACTCCCTGTACAGTTGTCATTAAGGGGAAATTACTTCAGCTAAAGAGACTGTTTTTTGTACCAGGCTGTAAACATGTTTATTTCTGCTGTCGGGCATTTTAACATGAGAGGCTATGGGGACTGACTCACCTCTGGAGCCAGACTCAAGTGGTCATTGGAGGAACAGCAGTTTTTGGTACTTTTGTGTTGGCTTCATTTTTCATCCCGGAGGTTGATGCTCGCTAAAATGCTGGTTTTACAACTATGTCATCTGACAAAATAACCATACACATAAATTAAACTGTACTGCACTTTCAGCTACTTGTAAAATGATCACTCTGAGAGAGAGTTAGAAGCTCATCAACATCATCTGCTGTTCGGTCAGCATAGAGATGTGTGCCTGCGGAGGGGATGGCTGACCAAACACTTTAGGGTCAACAAATCTGGCAAATCTCTTCTATGGCAAGTAGCTAAGGTTTACCCAAAAGATGCTAGGTTGTCATTGCATTGTCGTTGCATGATAAGTTTTTTTTAAAGAAAGTTGCTAAAGGGTCTGAAAAGTCTGTTAATCTAGCAACAAAGGTGCTAAGTTGGCAACACTGCTTGTTTGTGCCAAATCCTTTTGAAATTTTGAAAGAGCAATGACCAGTACGGAAACTCCAACACTCAGCTGCTGTAACTTCATCAGTCAGTCAGTCAGTCAGTGACTTTTCTGTTTATAGGGCTGGCCCCGCTGTTGTGGTCCAGCCAGTTCAGTAAATTCCAATCTTACTACCATATTTCCAATTCTGCTCTGGCAATTTGATCAGTTCTGTGTGAACAACTTCATATTTGTTTATATTGGAAAAATAAGGACAAAAATAAGAGATACAAGAGACAGTAGCAAAACATAGCACAGGTGGAAAAAGTTCATTAAAATGACTTCTGGCTCAATTAATGTGGACAGGATCTCTATATTTTCACACAGGCTCCACCCCCCAGTCCAACGACATGCAGGTCAGATAAAATGGAGAATCTAATCTAGTGAATTTGAACAAGAGAAGAGCTTTACCTGCTCAGAGAGTGAGACCTGCTGCCTAAGTCTCGGGACCGTCTCAGCCATCGTCCCACCACCTGCTCCACCCGGCTGGTCCTACGGGATGGGGAGCGGCTCCTGTCCTGCGCCTCCATTTACCTGCCATGGGAGAAAAGGTCAAAGGAGTCATACATACTGTACAAGAGGTTAACTGGCTCCACATCAGTAATAAATTCATATGATAAATAATGTAATGAAAAGGAAAATGGGCAAAGAGTAAGTTCTGGCTTCATCAGATATTTACAATCAAAATGTCCCCGGCAATTTTAAGAACTTGCAAACCACAGTGCTTAAGAGACACAGCACACACACACACACACACACACTCACACATTAGGCTTGGAAATAGGACCTCTGGGTAGACTTGGGCTGAGGCCAACAATGATGTCACTAGTGGTTTCATGCAGCCTAAGATGCGCTTAGCCAGAGTTATGAGGCAATTACTTGCATTTTGCATTCAAATCTAAATAAAAATCAATATCAGTAGTCCCTAATAAACAATAACGATGGTGTCTCCTTCAAATGGATCCCTCTTATGTTTGCTGTGAGGCTGGTGTTTTTTATAAATGATTGTTGACAGGCCGTGGTGACTGGTGAGATGGATGTAATGGACTTGGGTTTCCCCTGGTGTCAGTGTGGTTTAGTCAGGCTAATGCATGGGCCTATAGTAGTGAGTTAATGGGTCCTTGTGGAACCCTGCAACACTTTAGATAATTTCATGCTAGCGTACAGACACATAAGGCCTACAGGCTTTGGCAAATGTTACCCTTGAATCCTTCCTGGATTTTCACTACCTGTCCTTGACTGTGATTACCCTCAAGCATGATGTCAGAGATCGAGGAGTGGTCCACATGCATTCAAAAGTACAGCCTATAGGAGTGTATCAATCCAGTGGCAGGTATGACTCACCTTCATTGTCATGTTTTTTTTTTTTTTTCTTTGTTTAGGGGGTGGGGGGTTGGTCGCTACCTTTTTTCTAGCTGCAGTGAGAGAGAGACAGGAAAGTTGTTGAGAGAGAGGGGATGACATGCAGCAAAGGGCCTCAGGCCTGACTTAGACCAGGGCTGCTGCGGTAAGGACTGAGTCTTCATGGTTTGCACTCTACGAGGTGAGCCACCGGGGCCCCCTGTCATGGTTAAACATGCGGTTAAGGTTGTGAAACTATCATAGATAAAAGAAACAATATTGAGTTTCACACGGGAAACAAACAGCGGCTTCCTGTGCCACTATTTACTGACGGACAGTCTCATGTCAGCGAAGGTCCAGTGTATGAAGAACTTCACGCTCAAAAGAAAAGAATCTGCTGCTGACACCTTGGGTCAGCTTTAGCTTAACGTTGGAATACATTTTTATCCCTCATCTTTTACGCTGTAATAGTGCTACACAGGCACTGCCAGAACGGACAGGAGGAATGGTTACAGCAACCAGTCACTCTTCCAATATACATGTGCGCATATGAGTATTGTATAAAAATTTACATGAAAATAAATGGAACCTATACAAAAAAACAAATAGAGATTTATCAATCTAAACACCAAATATACAATTGAACATGCATTTCCCAGTGAGGAAGGCAAGGAGCACTTACACAAAACAAAACAAAGTTGTGTTCTCGTTATAGTGAGTGATTAATGGTGCATCACTGAGAAATACTAAAGTACTAGACTATTTGCTCTCAAAGGGAGAATCTCCCTCTCACAAATCACACACACACACACACGCACACGCACATACACACACACACACACACACACACACACACACACACACACACACACACACACACACACACACACACACTGAGGCAGTCATACAAAGACTTGGTCATTAGCTGATACCTGATACCCCTTTCACATCATCAAAGCCTGAATCTACTAGACTGACTGGGAAATAGATATTCTGACAGTGAGCGTTCATGTAGAATCACCTTACTATGAATGATAGATGGAAAAGAAAGAGAGTGAATGAGCAAGTGAACGAATGAATGAATGACTCATTTATTTGAGAAATGGATTAATCACAGTGGGAAAAAGGTGTATACGTTCATTAAGAAGAAATGAGTCATTGGACAGATTAATTATTAAGCACATAATTGACAAATTAATGAATGAAAAGATGAATGGATGAATGAATGCAAGGATGACAATATGAATGCATGCAAAAGTGTTGTGAAAAGGGTAAAAAGCAGAATCAATGCACGCATTTATGAAGTGATGGATGGAATGAATGAGTGAATGATCTCAGCAGGCCCGCTGTGTGCCTCAGTGAGCAGCTGCAGGAAGGAATCTCCCCCAGAAGGACGTCGCTGATGATGGGCATTAGCACCATCCATTAGAGGAAACAAGAGGGTGGGGAGGGAGAGCAAGAGAGTAGAGTACAGTAGAGTAGAGTAGGGGAGAGGAGAGGAGATGAGAGGAGGGGAGGATTAGGGTTAGGTGTCTGTATAAAAAAAGAAAAGCAATATGTCCAGTGCATCATCAGACACAGTATGATGTGACAAGCACAGGAAACTGAATGAGAGGAGGAGAGAAAACAGACAAGTGATGATAGAAGGTGAGAAAGGGGGAGGGCTTAGTGATGAAAGTGGTGAGTGACACAGCCAGACAGCAATGTCTCCTGGGGGATCTTGAGTCATAAGCACATTATCCATCCATCTGTCTGTGAATGCCCCTCTCCTGCTTCTCTCTCTCTCTCCCTTTTCATCCTTTCAGCCCCTCACTTCTAGCTCGTCCACACATCACTCTTCCTGTTTGCTTTGCTCGCGGTATCTCACGTCTCAGGTTACAGAGACACAATGCAGTGTACTCAGGTTTGTTAGGGTCAGAATAATCCAACTAGCTCCCCAGCACGGTGACCTCATGAGTGAAACGAATACATACACAAATACAAAGAGACGTAACGGGCCCGAAGCTCTGAAATCGCGGAGTTCCAGAGGAGTTACTTCCTTCCTAAAAGTGGATAATCTGGGATGGATTACAGCCAAATGTCTGTGCATTTCAAATGTCAAACACTGGGACAAAGCCTTCATACACAACCAATCCCCTGTAATCCCATAAACGTGTTTACCTTCCTAAGTGGCTTTGATTGACTATACTGATGAAGTACAAGCCCAGAGGTCTGACCACAGAAACAGACTTGAGACTGTACAGCAACCACAGTGTCCATGATGAGACAAGACGAGACAGGAAATGTTGCCAGACTTTTTTTTTTTCTAAGGTGTAATATTAGAGGATGCAGGAAATATCATACTGTACTTCCTTCTCACATCAATCACAAGACAAATTGCATTTCTCAACCTTACACTTAAATAAATATTCTTGCATCAGGCATCCATTGCTGACTCTTCAAGTCATCACTATTGGTTTCTCATAATACAAAGATTGGATTTTAAGCATTTTCTCTTTCTCTTGTCTCATTGTCCATTTGAGAGATTTATGAGGCATGTGGAAAGATTTGGAAAAGAAGGCTTGTGTGCTTCTATTGACACCTGTAGTTCACTACACTCACCAAAGAACAAAACACTGTTGCCCTTAAGCTGTAGTTTGTTTAATGTCCACACTGACTTATTACAGATATCTTAGCATTTATTTTTTTCCTCTCTGGTGGATTAGAGCCAAAGGGCCAGCAGAGAAGTGGGTGGTTGTGAGCATAATTAGTCTGCAACTGTAACTGTAACTCAAATCTGATAAATAATGATGGACAGCTCAAAACAAGATATCTTGTATTGTAACAGTAGTGAAGGATAGAGCTTTTAATGAGGAACTCCCATAGGACAGAGAATAAAACACTGATCACACAGTCCTGTGGTGGGTCCAGGAAACGAACCGTCAGAACTGTCAAAACGACCTGAGTTTACAGCTCAAAAACCTCATTTTAATCAGTCTTGGTCCAGTGTTTGGTCTGCACCAGAGTTTGAATGAAAACTTCCAAAGTGAAGAGCTGACATTTGGAGAAACACATTTTGCTTGTACTTTTGCAAGGAGCTGAGTTTCATCTCTGTTTGTCCAGTACAGAGATACAGGCACGGTCCTGCCGCTGCATCTCAGTCAAAAGTAAAGGCAAAAAAAGAGTAAGAGCTGCTGGTGCAAAACTGTTATATTCTTTGTTATTCTGTGCCATAATTATAAAATGTATGTAGAAAAAACAGACCTTTAATATAATGGTTCTCAACATTTCTGCTTTTTTAAATCATCAAGAGAGACATTATCCAGTAATGCAAGGGTAAATATGGAAAATTGTGTAGCAGAAATATTTTTTTTGTTTTTCAATCTTGTTAATCATCTTATAAGAAACTACTACTACTACTACTACTACTAATAATAATAATAACTTTATTCATATAGCAGATTTCTGAACAAACTAGAAAAAGTAAAACCAGATAACAGAAAAATCCAAGTAGTTAAACAAGTGGAGGTTTATCTTGACAAACAAATTGAATCATTGGCACAACCTCTATAAAGGATCTACAGCTACAGCATGTGCTGCCAGGTACTTGCACTACCTACTGACCTGGATATTGTTGCTGGCAGAATTACAACACAAAACCAATCTGGCAACAACACAGAGAGGACAGGTGCAAGAAATAAGTTCAAGTCTGCTGAATCATCTTTCAGGTTAATGTACCTATTTCAGTTTTATTTATTAAATAAATGAAATGAGATACAGTGTGCACATATTGTGAAAGTGTTAAAGAGATGCTGCTCTCTGCTTTCAGTATTTATAAGCCTGTTATATTATTTTCTTTATCTTATGTAGAGATATCCAACAACTGTATTTCCCTAAATTTTGGACTATTCATTTAACCAGGCACTAAGGTTTGCCCTGTGCTTCTGTTACTTTGACATGTTGTTCAGTTTCCATGGAAAATTAAGAGAAAAAAAAGCTTTTCCCACTGATCCTGGATTTTTATCTAAATTATTGTTTACTGTCTCTTTAAATCATTGTTGTGCCGCTGTCCCATTGTTCACCATGCAATCCCTTGCTTGTGTGTCACTCTCCCTCTCTTTCTATTAGATTACTGTTTAGCTTTGGGAGGAATCAGATTTCTCACATTTGTTTGTTTCTCTGTGCTTCCAACACAAGAGAATTACACATC